AGAAACGTAAGAGAACTGTCAGCTATTTCTGACATAGAAGAGGACTGAACAATTTAAAGTCAAACTCCCATCAATGTAACTGCTTCTTCCTGTAGACCACATTTTAACACTGGACTCTGAGGGCAAGCCTAACCATTGTATTTTAAGCTGATTTAAATAGTTTACTGTTTACTGAGATAAACTGTTTAATTCTACATAGGGACATAATGTGGCCTGCACTCTAACTGATTTTGATACATCAATGTGCTCTCTACATGTGTTTTGTTGGAATTTTTATAGTGGAAAACAGATACTAGTGCTAAAGTACAAAGAGTTCCAGTTCCCATCAGATTATAAAATTTTAAATCTTGTGGTACAATTTCTCTATCAACAGTTAAGAACTATCACCAACTGTATTCAAAGCACTGGAGTAGACAGACACAAATATAGGCCTTGTTCCATGTACTTAGACTGTTTCTACTTAAAATAGTAAGAAATTTGGAGGGGTTTTTTTTTTCTCCCTTTTAAAGAAGCTACTGCACTATCTGAGTTATACTTGTTTGTCATAGGTAATCACATTCTTATCAACTGGCAAGTAAAAAGCCAAAGCAAAAACATCTATAACCTACTTCCTTCAATCTAAACTTACCCTCTGTCCTACTCAAGTGTATCTGTCACCTCTGGGAAAGGCAAAGGACCCTTTCATTCTCCTGCCTCTGGGCTTCTGTTCCAGTTACATCTTCTCCCACACCTGGACTTTCTTACCCTATCTTTTTTCCTTAATACTTTTTCTAACGTTAAACTTTTGATCACTTGGAAATTAGCCTTATAACATATCTTTTTCTAAATAATACTGACTGCTTAACTACTGTGAATGTTTTCTATTTCCCCCTCTACATACATATTAAGCTCATGGATTTCTTGGTATTTCCTACAGGAAGTCACAGGGTTAGCACTATAGGGGATACAATGTTTTACCAACATTATAGGCAGAGGTGCTCGGTCACACAGAGCAGGTAGCAATGTAGTCTTCCCTGTAACTGCACTTTTCAAAAGAAAAGCGGGGCTACGTCTAGTGTGTGAATAAAAATGCAGGCTGGATTTACAGTTCATGAGGTTTATAGCCAAAGAGTTAAGCAATCCCCATAGATATACTGGTTGTCTTTGCAAAGGACTAGCTATTTTCTATTGTTTCCAACTCCTTAGGTGAAGCTAAGGTAGATGCACCTAGTTCAAGATTTGGATGGTTCAGAAATATCTGCTTTATAGATTCTATATCCATAGTTACGACCGATGTGTAAAAATATCAATATATAAGTTATAAAGCCAGCTTTAGGTGTGATCCTAAATATAGCAAGCATCTTCCAACACAGACTCATCTTTTCCCTCTCTCCCCCCATATTAGGAGCCAGTGACCCCTGAAAAAAGGAGCAGCCATGAGAAATCGCACCTACCCAGAAGGGATGGTCTCCTCCTGCTTTGGGCATGAGCCCTGAAGCCCCAGGCCTGCCTGCCCTGCATGCTGCCAGGCACTTACCCGAAATTCTACTAATCTGAGATTCCTTTCGGTTAAAAATTCTTATAAAAAAGTAGAAATCGCTCCATGTTTTATATAAATATCTTAAATTGGCCACTCTCCCTAAAATGCAGCTGTGTTGGGAGGCGTAAGAGTACTAAAGCAAGGAGGTGGTATGTATTTTGAACAGAACACTTTCGTGGAATGGGAGAAGCCTAAATAGTGTCACTAGATAGAGGGCACAAGGATCTGTGTATAGGATGACAACATAGCATGTCAAAGATGAACTACTTCACAGTTTTGCCTAGGCCAGCCTTTCATACAGAAAAAGCACTACTTGGCTCCTGTTCTCAGAATTCTGGATATTACTAGTAATACTAAAGTATAAGCTCTGTCAAATGGAGTTAATGCAGCAGTCACAGGTTAGACCTAGAAGCTATTCGTCCCAAACAATATTGTTTGTATAGAAAAGTCAATACAAGTTCCAAACAACTAACCTGAAAATGAGTATAATGGAAGTCATTTACTTTAAAGGGCACTAGGAGCACTATACTAAGCATTTTCTGAGCATCATCTTATTTGTCACAACAATTCTATGACATATGTACTATTCTTATTCCTTTTTCACAAAGAAAGTAAAACATAACAGGCTAATTTACTCGACTGAGACCACACAGCAAAAATAATTGGCAAACTCCAAAGAAGATACACAAATAGCTAATAAGCACATGAAAAGATGCTCATCATCACTAATCATGAGTGAAATGCAAATCAAAATGACAATGAGATATCACTTCACACTCATTAAGATGGCTACTACAAAAAAAATAATAATGAGTATTGATGAAGATGATACTGAAACCCTTGCAACACAATGATGACGGGAATGCAAAATGGTCCAACGATTATAGAAAACAGTATGGTGGTTTCTCAGAAAATAAAAAATTGAATCACCATATGATCCAGCAGTCCCACTTATGGGTTTATATCCAGAAGAATGGAAAAAAGGGTCTTGAAGAGGTATTGGTACACTCGTGTCATAGCGCCATTATTCATAATAGACAAAAAGTGGAAGCATGTCCAGCAACAGATGAACGGATATATACAAAATACAGTATATACAAACAATGGAATAGTATTCAGCCTTAAAAAGGAAGGAAATTCTCACATGTGCTACAACATGGATGAACCGTGAGGACATTATGCTAAGTGAAATAAGCCAGTCATAAAAAGACAAATTCTGTATGACTCCACTTATGTGAAGCAACTAGTCAAATTCATAGAGATCGAAAGCAGAATGGTGGTTGCTAGGGGCTGGGGGATGGGTTGTAAAATGGGAATGGGGAGTTGTTAAATGGGTAGAGTTTAATTAGTGCAGAATTCAGTTATACAAGATGAACCGAGTTCTGGAGAGTGGTTGCAGACAATGTGAATGTATATAGCACTACTGAACTGCACCCTTAAAATCATTAATATGGTAAATTTTATGTTATGTATTTTACCAGAATTAAAAATAAAAAACAAAAATGGCACAGCCAGACTCAAACTCAAGACATTCTAAATTCAACATTCTTTACACTTTGACCTTATTGTTTAACTACATTCATTCACTCGGCAAATATATGACTGCTATGCATCAAGCATAAAAGTACCAGAGATGCATCAGTTAATGAAATAGACAAGTCCTCACATAGCTTAAGTTTTAGCCAATATAACTGCTTATCTCATAAGAACACTTGTCTCACCCAGTATTCAAAGAAACTCTGCCAACTGTACAGTATTGTGTCAAGTTTGCTCCTCAAAAGCTATTAAAAGAATTATTCATAGAGATCTGAAAAGCCACCTTCATTTTTCATGGTCTCAGAGGCAGACTCAAACAACGATCTTACTTTACTCACTTTCTATGAGTGGAATCCTGATAATTATCTTTCCTGATAATTCTGTCATAAGCCCCAAATTAATAAATCTCTATGTGCCAATATTCACTAATCTAATTTTTATTTATTATATACCATCATTTTAAATTGCTTATTTTAAAAAAAGGTAAAACCACAAAAAAGAATATGGAAAATCTTCATATTTTAACTCATATTTTAACTAACAGGATTTCATATTTTAACTAACAGGATTTCAACATATTATTAGCCTAGTTAAGTACGATTATTACTCATTTATATCATATACTAAACCTCTGATTCAAATCCTAACACGTCAAATAATACCATTCCGTTTCAACTCTACAGGCTTCTTGCCCCCATTCCCTCAAATTTAGAGACTGAACAATCCATTCTCTCCAGAAGGTTGCTTAATTTCCATACTGTGACTCAAACATCCATTTTACTCTTGTAAAACCATAATTTAGAAAGATTCCCCAGTGTATAAGCACCCGCCCCCACCCCCGCAAAAAAAAAAAAAAAACAAAGAAAATCCTATTTAAAAAAAAATTTAAAAGAAAAAGAAAACTTTAGAGTAAAAAAAAAGCAAATAGGAGAAAAAGACAAAGAAACTCCTATTTAAAAAAAAATTTAAAAGAAAAAACAGACTTTAAAGACATATATTAAATTAGTATTAAGCATCTTTTTCTGCAAGAATTAAACTGTCAGATTTCCCTAAAAAAAAAAAAAGTCAATTTGACATTCAAATTACAAAGGGCATCTTTCCAGTTATATTTAGAAATCTACACAATTTAACCTTTTTTTAACAGCCAAGTTTTTTATATTCTGCAGCTTCTCTAATTTCACAATTAGAGCTGAGGGTTTATATACGGATGACAAAAGTACCTTTGATGAAGAGATCCAAAAGCTAATGAATGCAAATCCTAGAATACAGCCATCTCACTGAATAGACACAGTAGCTCAAAAGTAAAAAGAACAAATATACAAACGGGCTCCTCCATGTAGATTACCTGTCTTATTGAAGCATTATGAATATTAAAACTTATACTCATTACATACATGTCAAGCCTCAATCAGACCTCAAGGACTATACTACAAAAATGTCCCACAAATAGTAGTAATCAGTGCTGCCATCACTCCCAGGAAACCACTTAGGAGCAAGATTCTTTTCTAACATGGAGAGTAGGAAAAAGTGAATGATCGGTTTGCCTTTTAAAAAGAAAAAAGTATCACAAACCTTTCTTAATTATAAATGTAGTTATCTCCTTCTTTGAATAGGTTTTATCATTGTTGCAGATGCATACTTATTACACTTAAAATTTTATCCATGATTACCACTTATCTTTTCTAACTTGTCTACAATAAAGTCTGAAATTTTTATTTTATATTCCATTGAACTGGTTTCAACAGCACGACCTTTTCTTCATATGGTATACCTTTCAAGTTCTACTAAGGAAGAATAATTGTGAAGTTCTCTGCCATTTTTCTAAAATTGTCAACGTTTCCTGGTACTCTGGTCAACTTGTTCTAAATGAAAGAATGTTAAGCATGTGCTAATTTTCATATACATCAACTTTTAGATATTGCAAATAAATTCCTTATAGATTTACCTTCATCATACATTTCTTCTATTAAATAGGCCTCTGCTCGATCTTTCAGAGCATTCACATTTTCAGGTTCCATCTGTAAAACTTCAGAACACACTCGAATAGCTTCAACAGGCTTCTCATCCTAAAAGTAAATGTGTGAAAAGGATTTATGTTTGCTATTTCACATGTTAAGGTTTTAGATTTCTGGGAATGAGTCAACTGTTACCTTAGAGAAGCAGTGGCAAATCCTTTCTTTTGAACGAATTATATATTCAGAAACACTTGGTTCTGTTTTCATGACAGATTCATATTTGCTGGTCGCATCTGTGTATCTATTAAATGAGTGAATCATGATGAGTCACAATGAAATTCTATTTCCACAGTCAGAGAGGACCTACTACTTTTCACTCTTTGTTGCTTAATTCACCAGAATGAGCACATGCCTTCAAACAGTGCTTCTGCCTTATTAATCTACAGCAGGTACTATCTGCTATTAAGAGTTAGATAAAACACATGACCACAGATAATGTATATGGAGAAATCAAGGCATACCTGTGAGTACCAATCAAACCAAGTGATGAATGTCTTCACAGGAAAATGCTCGTGATTTTGAAACTGAGAAAAACACCTTGTTATAGTCTGTCTTACCTGGAGTACTTTCAGTAAAACAGAAATAAGGTTTTATTTCTTGGTCAGTATATACTTGGAGCCTATTATATATACATGCTATTACACATACTGAGTATTAATATTCACAACTAAGTACAATGTACTTCCTTGCAGAAGGAACCTGCTTAAATTCCTAACTTTACTAGCTTTCTAAGAATAATAAAAGCTATGTCAACATTTTATGAACTGGTGAAAAGTACTAGTCATGTTATACAACAGATTACTTTCCTCAGTAATGGCAAACTAAAAGATATATGCCATTGTGGCACAGTACTGCAATCTTCACTTTTAAATGCTGATGTATTAAAACACAGCTTTAAATATAACATTTAAAACAGAAGTTAGCTATCACTGCCATTGTTCTAAAGTTTTCCATAACGGTAAACAACTGTAGGAAACTGCGCAGAGCATGTGAGACCTTGCTTTACTTCTTACAACTACACATTGAACTAGAATTAGGACGAAATAAAAAGTTCAATTAGAAAATACTATACTTCGCTTTAAGAAAAAAAAGCTAGCTTCTGGGAAGGTGAAATAAATGTACTTTTCCCAGTTCTTTTAACTAGGTACAATTAAAGAACCTAGGCATTAGATATTTTTAAAACATGAAAAGACTCAGAAGGGAGAGAGAAGAAGGTAGACCAGCTAGGAACCTGGGGAAAAACCGTGTGGTAAGTTCCCTCGGTTTCTTTTTTGCTTCATATACCCCAGACTTAGAGCTGAGGAAGCCAGGAATGCAGAAATGGGTACAAACAAAAACCTGCTCTCCCATGCCAAAACACCGGGAAAGAGCAGCCTAACAGACAGAAAACTTTTCGATAATAAAAGCTCTACTCCAGCCAAACACCACAATGAAAATTATGGCCCTGCTCCCACCAATGCCAGCAGGTCATATGGAAAACCCAGACTTCTTCCTTGGTGAGGCTGTAACAAGGTGTTGCTATACCCTCTACGAAGATGGTATTAGAAAAGCCAAGTAGGGAGCCAGGACTTTAATCCATGGCTGGAAATGAGTCCCCACAACTTTATCACCTGCACCAAGCAGCAGCAAGAAGCCCCAACACCTCAAGAATCAACGAAGGCTGAGTGGAAAACTTCTACCTCCACCTCACAGTAACAAGGTAGTAGCCACCCCCACTTTGCTGGAACAATGTCAGAAAAACCCAGCCAAAACAGAAGATTTAAATCAAAGATTCTTATAAAATGAAAATGTCCAGGTTTCAACTAAAAACCACCCATAATGCCAAGAAACAGGAAGATCTCAAACTGAATGAGAAAGAATAAATTCCAACACCAAGAGGACAGAGATGTTAGAATTATCTGATAAAAAATTTTAAAGCAACCATGAAAAAAGCAGCAATGACAAACATGCTTAAAGAAAATGAAAAAAAAAAAAGTCTCAACAAAGAAATAGAAAGTCTCAGCAAAGAAGCAGAAGATATGATAACCAAATGGCATTTTTAGAACAGAGAAATAGAAAAGCTGAAATAAAGAGCTCACTAGAGACAGAGAAAAGAATCAGTGAATTAGAACAAAAGAAATTACAAAATTTGAACAGAGAAAATAGACTGAAAAAAATGAACAGAGCCCAGGGACTTGTGAGACTACAACAAAAGAGCTAACATTTGTGTCAACCAGCATCTAAGAAGAAGATGAGAGGGCAGGGCTGAATAAGAAATAATGGCTGGGAGCTCCCCAAATTTGACAAGACATAAATCTATGTGTTCTAGAAACTAAATAAACTCTCAAAAGGATAAACACAAGGCAATCCACATCAAGATGCATCATAATTAAATTTCTGAATTTACTAAAGGAAAAAAATCTGAAAAGCAGTCAGAGGAAAATATCTTAATTTTAAGGGGAAAACAATTAGAATGACAATGGATTTCTCATCAAGAATCATGGAGGCCAGAAAGAAGTCGTACAATATATTTCAGATACTAAACAAAATAACCCAGAATCCTATACCGTGGCAGAGTCTATATACTCTGCATGCATCTCTATCACTCTAGAGACCACATCACCTTTAATAATCAATGTTTTTGTCTGTCTCCTACACTAAACTATAAGCTTAAGACCAAAACTATAGTCATATGCATTTCTGTACTCTCAGTACATAGTCAATGCCTGATACAAGAGATAATCAATAAATATTCGGTGAAATCTTAATAAATCTACTGTTATGAATACTATGCAGTTACTATTACTTATATTCTGCCTTATTTTAAAAATGTACAGTTGTGGTAGTTTTGCTAAGGCCCAGTGCTGTCTAGAATACTCCATCTTCAATAGCTAAGGAATAAAAAGAGCAAGCAGTTCTATTGTTCTTCTGTGCCTACAAAAGACATGAGGAAATGCTAGATAGTCTAGACAAACATATTCCTACCTGCCATCTCTGATGAGCTCTTCAGCTGTCTCAATCAGCTTATTAAGTTTCTTTACTTGTTTATAGTGTGCAAAACACCTTTTATGATCCTGGTCAAGTTTAAGACATTCACGAACTTCACTGCTCATGTATTTAAAAAGAAGAAAATATTCCATGTCAAAATAATGAGTCGTTTTCCATACAGAAATCACAATAAAAGATATTTTTTGTTTGTAATAATTAAACTAAACATACTGGCTTAATAATATACTTCTATATTTAGTTGTTGTACCATGCGCATACTTAATTCAAATTAAAATGGCTTAAGTAGAGTTATACATTAAATACTCCGTTTTGCTTCTACAAATATAATAATCCCTATTTACTTTAATAAGCATACTTCATGAAAATAAAGTATGTAGTGTAGAATAACTTAGGGATAACAAAATATATAAATAAAAACAGCCTTAAAATAATTTTATTAATTTAAAATTGAAAAGAAAATGGATTGTCTTACTGCCAACAATAAAAAGATGGTGAGATGTGTATGTCACTAGAACTGACCTGAGGGACAGTTCATGGTCTCCTAGTTGATAGTACAGTGTGCTGATTTTATAAAAAGCCTCAGTATTATCATTCTTCAATTTTGATGCAGCTTTTAAGTCACTTATTGCTTTCCTAGGTTCACCTTCTTTTATAAAACATTCAGCTCGAAGTTCTCGTAGTTCTGCATCCCAAACACAAACCTTGAGAAACAAAAGAACTAGGCTTTAAGGAACAGTAACTTATGCACATTTATACTTATATCCCACATATTTCATCTACATATTTATCAACATAAAACATCCTCAATTAATGTAATGACTTATATATGGTAAACAGTATTTAAAAGTCTGATACAATTTAGATGCAACAAAAATAATTAGATGTGACAAAATAATTTTCCCAAGGATATCTTAAATAACTTCTAGTGGAGGAAGGGATATATATACTAACAAGGCCCTTTTCCTACTTCCTTCAATTACAGAATTATAAAACTTTGAAAATAAGAGTACATGGCATTTACTATTATAAGGTTGTTCCCAGGGAAGCATATTTGATTTTGAAGAGAATATTCTATAATCAGATTTTTGTACTTAATCAACAATTCTAATTTCTAGTATCAAAAAATAAAATCTAGGTTCTAAATTTGCAAAATATTTTTGTTCTACTAATAACTAAATGAAATTCTCTTTTGTAAAATGTCATCTCCTTGAAATTAAAATCCTATCACAAAAAAGAAAAAAGAGAAAATGTGAGAAGGTTGAGGCTTCATCATTTTTATTTTATTGAAAAATTGACAATGTTTAGTAAATGCACTAGTATTTTTCAAAATATAAACCCAAAAGCTCACCAATAAGGCCTGTAGAAGTATCTTTACCTATTTCTTAGAGCTGTTCCAAAGTCATGTCAACTTCTCACATATATTAAGATATCAAAATCAACACTGTACATAAATTAAATATCCTGGACAATAAGCCAGGTCAGAATACATAGTCTAACTACTGGAAGGTAAAAACTGCAACTTTATTTTTCCTCACTAAAGCATTTACAAAATAATTTAGCAAAACATGAATTCCACTGGACTACATTGCATGATTTCCTCTATAAAATTATCAAAGTGCACATTCCACATACAAGTGTACTGCCAAGATTAAATGAAACTGTACGTGAAAGTACTATGAAAATGGTAAATATGAATTATGATTGCTTTCATTTAAATATTTTAGTGACCTCCTTCTGAAACCATCTGTCATTAACTCCTTCCAGAGGCAAGGATACTAGAGTTAGGTTTCCCAATCTAGAATCCTCTAGATCCTATCAACTCTTCATCTGCCTTCTTCCCTAGAAACTTTTCACTCTAAACATTCCTCTTTCCTCCCAAACATTATTTTTCCTTTTTCTTTCATCTTCTACCCCATTACTTAACCTCTAGAGTTTTCTTCTCTCCCACAAAAAAAAAAAAAACCCACACACAATTTTAAGTCGAACGAAAATAGCAAAGCAATGTATAAAAATATGTAACTCCCTCTCCATTGCACATTCAGTACATTTCAGTTGCAAATTTTGTTCTATATAAACACCATCTTTCAGTTAAGAGCTGAAAGCCCAAGGACCAATCTGATTTTTATCCTATGTAGGCTTTATGTAGTACATACCACGTCAAAGTGTATAAATATGCCGTATAGTAAAAAGCAGTATTAGGCTTGTCAGCTGCAATATCTAAGAAACTTACCTCTAAAATCTTATCAAGGAAGGTTATAGCAGCAGTATAATCCGAGCTTTCAAAAGCATCAAGTGCCTGTGAACGCAAACGCTGCATTTCATCAGATTTTATAAGTTGGGACTGGGCTTCCTTTTCTTCATTTTCACTTGGATTAGATTTGAGCTATAAGAAGAAATTAAACAGGTTTTTAATCTCTTCAGTCTAAGATTCATAGTACACACAATGACCTGACCTTCCAAATACATTTATTTAGGGAAGAGGGTAGAGACACTGGCAAAACTGGCTTGTCCAGTGCCTGGCTTCCGGTGCTGACCACATGGGAAGCAATAGCAGGTTACACAAGAGTGGGCAGTGGAGCTAGAGTCAAGACCTGGGTCTCTCAAAACTTATCAGAAAGCAACAATATTTAGGAATGTGAAAGGAAGAATGAAGGAAAGTGCCATTCTCACTTTGAGGTATAGCTCTAGAGAAAATAACTGTAGTTTTATGCATTTTGCCTTCTAATTCTACTTCCTATGTATTTAAGTTTAAAATAATTTTAACAAAATATGAAAAACATAAGGAAACTGAGGAAGAGGACAGTTTGTTAGAGGTTATAGGACAGAAAAAGATTTGCTACCATAGGGGCTAAGATGTAATAATGAAGAATTTACAGGGAAAAGTAAGAGAATCATACCTTATTAAAAGGCTTATAATGTGGTTTTAAGAAGTTTACATTATCTTTTTTAAAACAACATTATCAAGGTATAATTTATATATCATAAAATTCACTCATTTTGAGTGTGTGATTCTTTGGTTTTTAATAAATTTACCGAATATGCAACCTTTGCCACAGTTTGAGACCATTTCTGTCACCCCAATGAGATCTCTTGTGTCTGTTGACACTTCATCCCTGCTCTCAGCCCAATCTCTTGCAGTGACTCTTAATTTCTTCCTCCAGATGGACAATCTTAAGCTTAATGGCTCAGAAAAATTGGATGCTTATGTTAAAAAGCTACTGACTTTTTTTAGAACTTTTTTCTTTAAGATTACAGTTTATCTGCAATAATTCCTGAAATCTAATATTCTTATTAAGATGAGAATTGTGGTTGATGGGTTCCAATTTTGGGTGAGGTGCAAACAACAGTAGATTATTTCTAGAAATGTCTCTCCTTCAACTGACCAGTCATACTGCTTCCTCTTTTAGTGGATTCATTTTTTAAAAAAAAAATACTACCACAGCCACCTGGCAGGAGAAAACACTCCAAACAAGAAACCTTAAGATTACTATCACTTGGTAGAGACTCTGTTATTTCTCCATTTGTTTTTAGGATACTTTAGGTATCCTATTTTGTCTGTATAACCCTGGGCTTTTAAAGGAATATAGACAGGACTCCGAGTATTCATAGGTAATTAGGAACTTGGTAAACTAAACTTGCTCTGAGGAAGGGCTGTCCCTGCATGATTGAATTATCCAGTTGAAAGGAGTCGCATTATCCTTGGGGTGGTCTTGAATACTTGTGATAGACCACACTGGAAGGAGTATAAATGTGTGTGCATTGTCACTTTGTTCTTGGTAAAAGCAGAAGTTTATTGATAAGTTGTTTCTTATTTGTACGCAACTGCTCCCTTTTGAATAGAATGTATTAGACTGCCTCTTCTGGATAGAATTTGCATCTTTTCTCTCCTAAACTTTAGAGTCTTAATCTCTTCCACATAATTGTTCTTGCTGGAAGATGAGGGGTGAAGAAAGCCCTAAATCTCAAGGTTGAGGATGGAAGCTCAGTCTCACTTCATGCTTAGACAATGAGAACAGGAAAGTAGCGAGCATGGGTCATCCGGGCCTCTTTGAGATTGGAAGGGAGGGATTCTTCCAAAGAGGTAAGAATGGAGTTTGAACTTACTTATAATCCTGAAGAGTTTCACAGAGGGTTAAGTGAGATGAAGATTTTTCACTCTTACCACAAGGTTGCTAACTCCTCCCAACTGCCCTCATGTTCCAGGATATTTACACGCAGAGAGCCTGGTCCCTACTGGTATTTCCCTTTCTCCTTTTTTCATTTGCTATCCCTTCTCTTCAATCTATGACAATATTTTAATTCTTATTTCTTACCATTTACTATGGTCACTGAGCTTTTGGATAAAAACTCAAAACAGCTACAGGATGTGGGATTTTTAAAAGAGATAAACTGCTCTATCTAATCTAATCTAATCTAATCTAATCTAAATACACCCCTATTTCTGAGACCTCAAATGAAAACAGTGGATTGGTAGTTGTGGTGGGCAGACTTCTATGATGCCCCCAAATGATCCCTACCTTCTGGAACTGAAGGCTTTGTGTGCTCCCCTCCCCTAGACTATGAGATGGAGCTTTAATTCCTTTTAACAAAAAGAAATCAACAAAGGTGACAGGATGTCACTCCCTTAATAAGATACCATGCACTGTGACTTCCATCTTGTTGATTTCCTCTGTCAATCTCTTGCCTTCTCACTGCTGGCTCTAATGAAGCAAACTGCCATGCTATAAAATGCTTTACTGAGAGGCCCACGAAAGAAAGAACTAAGGGAAGCCTCTGGCCAACAACACCGGAAAAAAAAACAGGCCTCAGTCTAACAGCTCAAGAAAAACTAAATCCTACCAACAATGAAGTGAGTCTGGGAGCAGTTCCTTCACCAGCCACACCTCCAGGTAACGCTTGCAGCCTTATCTGACACCTTGACTGTGCCTGTGAGACCCTGGAGCAGAGGATCAAGCTAAGCCTGCCCAGGTTCCTAGTCCCATGAACTGTAAGATTATAAATGTGGGCTGCTTTAAGCTGCTTAACTTTGGAACAATTTGTTCAGCAGCAACAAGTAATTAATACAGTAGTGGTACCATTTCTCAATAGCCAGGTTGTGAATATTTCCAAACAGATTTTGTATTATGGTTTTAAAATAAAGTCTAAAGGGGGGGTGGGGGGGGGAGGTCGGGGACAGCTAAGCCCAAATCCTGACATCACTTTTTATCTGTATGTTATCTGCATTTTCTCCACCAATAAAAGGGGGGAATAATAATACCTACACCCTGAACAGTAGTAATTGAAGAATTAAGAAGATACTTTACGTAACACAGAGAAAGTACTACAAAAAAATGATAATAAAAATTCCAAGCTCCTTTTGTAAGTTTTGTATAATATATAAATTCATATATACTCTCTAGTAGTGTCTCCAAGACCTTAACACTCTTCTATCCCTTCTCTTCAACCTATGACAATATTTTAATTCTTATTTCTTACCATTTACTGTGGCCACTGAGCTTTTGGATAAAAACGCAAAATAGCTATGGGATATGGCATTTTTAAAAGAAGTAAGTTGCTCTAACTAATCTAATCTAATCTAAATACACCCCTATTTCTGAGACCTCAAATGAAAACAGAAGATTGGTAGACGTGGTGGACAGACTTTTCAAACTCCTTTCTTACCTCTTTGGAAGAATCTCTCCCTCCCAAACCCAAAGAGGCCCAGATGACCCATGCTCGCTCCTTTCCTATTCCCATTGTCTGAGCCTGGAGTGAGGCTGAGCTCTCCAGCCTCAAGGGGTCTGTGGGGACCAAAGCATATGTATATAAAAGATAATGAATCCATTCAAAGTGTAAGATAAGCCAATGGATTTCATTATAACAGAGAACTACAAATTCACCAATAAGATTTTAGAGTCCGCACTGCAACCAACCTATCTATAACCATTCCTGGAGGTTCCAAACAATATCCACAATCATCTTAAAAGACTATTAAAAAACTCTTCCTTTTCCAACTGCTTATATGTGTGAGGTCACATTTTCTTCAATAATACTTCAACCAAATTATAAATCAGATCTGCAAATCTGGTTGTCTTCAAATAAGCCAAATATTAGAGAGACTTGCAAAAATGTAAAAGAATACCACTCATTACTAAATTTATTATTTTTTAAAATATACTATTTTCATGCAAAAAAGTTATATTAACATAGTGGATTTATTATTACTTTTTTGAACTTTTATATTTGAGTTTACTCTTCATTTAACTTTTAAAACACTACTATAGTTGAATGTTATTTTTAAATTAATAAATATTTTTAAATTTTGTAAAATTAATTTCTAACACTGTAAATACTGATAAACAAAAGCCCTTTGGATTCCTCAACATTTAATAGTATAATGGGATTCTGAGACCAATTCTGAGTACTGCTGCCCTAGAGAGATTCAACATGTTCAAGGAAAATGGACAAGAATATGCACTGAACCTGATAGAGTATAAGCTGAAATATTCGTTAAATTCATTTTAAAACCTACCAGAAATGAAATAGAAAATTTGAGTATACAGTTAATTTCTCCTAATTGTAACATTGAAAAAAGACACCTTCAAGATTCCAAAAGACTCTTGTTCCATCACACAGTTTTAATCAAACCAACAACTTTCTCAAGGCTCATCTCCTCGAGGCTTCCCTAACTGTCCTATACCAAGGTAGTAATCGCCTTGCTCTAAATGTTTAAACCACTTAAGAAGCTCTTAATGATGGAAGTAACCTAAGAAATCATCTTGCCCAATCAACTCTTCACTTTACAAATGAAAATAGAGTCTCACAAATGGTAAGTAACTTGACCAACATCATACAGCTAATAAGGAGTAAAAGGGAGGTGGGTCTCCCAGTTTCTAGTCACTCTCAATCTCATCTTATTATCTAGATACACTTATGTTGCTTCTTTCAAATATCTCTGCACTGTTAATTTTTCACATATTTCGGGCTCATTTCCTCCAACTAAAGTGTTCATTGCTGAAGAACAGGATGTATGTCTTAATGTCTATTCTGCATACCTATTTTTCTTTTCCATTTAATACTAAGACTATTAGTATTAAATAGTCTAATATTTAATAGATGGAGAGCAATCATGACAGCAGAAAACATCTATTGAGAGCTTTCTATCCTCCAGGCACTATTCTAAATTAAACCTAAAACCCGAAAGGACCTTTCAGATTATCTCCATTTTACATAGGAGGAATCTGTGGCTCAAAGTCATTTCCAGAGCTTACATTCTTAACTATTCTATGTAACACTGACATCAGACGTGCATCTGCCTACTTGACATGTCCAAGAGAACATCTTAATGGCATATCAGTAAGAAGCCAACACAAAATTCCATTTCCCATCTCCAACCTACTGCCA